TTAGTATTAATTTTATAGATAGACATATTAAAGCTATATATATATAATATAGTAAGTTTAAAATAAATACTCTTAATAATATAAAAAGCTAATCTATTATTTCTATATAAATTAATATTAATAATAATATTATAATTAAGATATATAAAATAAATTAAAAATTAAACTAAAAAGGATATTAGCTTTTATTTATTCTAAATAATACTTAATATATTTAAAATATTTTTATTTTAAAAATATTTATATTTTCTAATATATTTCTATTTTTACTTCTTAAATAATAGATTCTTATTAATTTTTATTAAAGGAATTCTAATTAAAATATTTCTTTATTATAGCTTTCTTAATATATAATATCTTTATATTTAGCTAAACTTATAGTTAGTAGATTTAAACTTATAGTTAAGATAAATTCTTAGGATATTTTTAAGCTTTTTAAGTATATAAGTTTTAAGAGTAATCCTCTACTATTTTCTTTTTCTCTTTAATATTAAATCTAACTAAATAACTTAAGATATAATTATTATAATAATTTTAAAGATTATTATAATAATATTATAAGTATAAACTATAAATATATATTAATAGTAATATTATTTAATTAACTTTTTAGTTAAAAAATATAAATATTTAATAGTAATTATTTCCTTAATAGATTTTATTTTATTTTTAATTTATTTATAGTAAAGAGGAAAAGAATTATATATTAATAAAATAAATAAAATATTTCTTTAATCCTTCTATATAAACTACTACTATATATTATATATAATAATTATAATTAGCTATTATTACTATAATAATAGTTATTACTTTATACTTACTTATAGAAAGTATATATAATTTATATATTATATTTTCTTTTTAAAATTTATTTTTTCTCCTCTCTATATTTTTTTCTTCTCTCTAATATATTATTATTCTTAACTTTGTTTTATATTACTTTTTAATATAATATTTTTTACTTTTAAGTTTTATTATAATATATTAACTTTTTTTTCTTTAGTTATATAAGAATATTAAGCTTTATTATATTTATTAATAAAAGTATTATTATAAATATATTTATTATACCTTTTAATCCTTAAAATAAGAAGTAAATATTTAAAATCTATATTTAAAGTAGTAGCTATAAAAAAGCTTATAAATCTAAGCTTAATAGTAAATTTAATTATTATAATTCTCTTTAATTATTATATTACTAATATCTTAAAATATATTTAATCTAAGAGATTAAATAGCTTTAAATAATAATAAATAACTTAATCCTTAAAGCTATATATACTTAGCTTATTAAAGAAATCCTTAATACTTTTTTCTTTAGGTTTATAGTTAAATATTTCTCTATTAATACTTTTAAAGTAATTTACTATTTTTCTAAAGACTTTTTAGTTATAACGTTTATTAATATATTTCTCTTACTTTTCTTTTTAATTCTTATTAATTAGTTTCTAATAATAAATTATATAGCTTTATATACTTATTATATTATTATTAATATTATTAACTTTATACTTATTAAATAACTATATTTAATATCTTAAAATCTTAAAACTATTTAGCTAAATATAGAAAATAAAAATACTTTTAATAATAAGTTTATTATTTTCTATTTAATTTCTTTTTATTAATATTTCTTAAGTTTAATAGAAAAATATTATAGCTAATTAAGAGAGAATAAAAAATATTATTATAAAAGCTTTTATAAATTACTTTATTTTTAAACTTAAGAAGTATAAATACTAATAAGCTAATATTAATAAAAAAAAGCTTAATAAATAATAAAGACTTTTAGATATTACTACTAAATTAGATAGTAATACTTTTAATAATAAAGATATTCCTATAAACTTAACTTCTATTTAATCTAAAATAATAAATAACTTAAATATTAACTAAAAAAATTAAAAATAAAAATATATTAACTTTAAAAATAATATTATAAGAAATCTTTATATTAATAATATTATTAAAAGTATTTTTAGTTTAAAAAAAATAGATCTTAAAAATTTTTCTCTTATTAATTTAGCTATAAAAAACTTTTTTAAAAAAAATATTATTTTATTTAAATATAACTATAAAAATATTATTTTTTAAGATAATAATATAAATAATATTATTTTAAAAGATTTAAATTAATAAAGTATTAGCTTTTAAGCTATAAACTTTTAGGATATAACCTTTTAAGATATTATTTTAAAGGATATTAACTAATAAATAAATAACTAAAAAAATACTATCCTCTAAAATAGTAACTTTAAGAATATTATTTTAGAGAACTTAAACTAAGAGGATAATACTTTTAAAGTTAATAACTATATTAATACCTCTATTAAAAATAATAGTTTATAGAAATCTATTTTTAAAAATATCTTATATAATTCTATAGATAATAATTATAATAAAAATATAGTTATTACTTTATAATAGAAATATATTTCTCTTTCTAAGAGAAAGTTTAAAAAAGTACTTAATAACTATAGCTTAAGTAGATAATTCTTTTCTTAAAAGATAATAATAAAATAAATAATATAGCTTAAGTAAAATAATAGAATATTAAAAATAAAATAGCTTTAATAAGAAAACTAATTTTTACTTTATATTAGAAATAAATATAGTAATAATAAATAAAAGATAAGCTTAAAATTTTAATATAACTTACTTAATTATTATAAGTAGATTATTATAAATAGATTATTATAAATAAATTATTATAAATTAAATTAACTATATACTTACTAAGTATTTTATTACTAAACTTTAATACTTATAACTTATAGGTATAAATAAAATTTTAATTTATACTTAGCTTTATTTCTATTTATATACTTAGTAAACCTATCTACTTATATTCTAGGTATACTTATAACCTAACCTATTTAGGTAAATACTTATAGGTATCTATAGCATAAGTAATTTGAAGCCTACCTGCATATCTTCGTTTCAGGCACCGCCTTAATGTGCCTCCGAGAATACTTGCAGCGTGTACGCTTCAGGCTGGTGGGATCTCAGAAACAAGCGCATGAGTACAATCTTACAGCGGGCGGCGGAAAAGAGCCTTGAAACACTAAGAACAATCTAAGTATTGCCTGCCGGCGGTTGCACACCGGGGTTACCGGGGCCGCTCGGACATGAATCGCATGCCGGACCCACTTGTTCCGGCGCATGTGTCCGGCTCCGACACCGAAGCTTAGCTCCGGATAGAACCCCGCTCACTTGTCCTCCTCGAATGGAAAATGGCTCGGTTTGCTCGGATTCGCATACGTTATTCTTTTCTTCTTTTGAGCTGTTTTTATTCACCTCTGCACGATGTCTTGGCAGGCTGACAGCACCCTGAATCCTGGGCCAAGGCCTTGGGCCCTAGCGGCGCCGTCTCCATGGCTCGAGGTGATTCTGTTCGATGCGGCACTGTCAACGGCCGTAAACACCAGCATCTCTTGCCCCATTAACCAGCTAAATCGTGCCGCGGGTCGTAATCCCTTGTTCCGGTACAGCCTGCTGCGCTTATGGCCATGCATATTTCAGCGTACGCCCGGTGAGGCCAAAAGCCGTCTGGTCACCGAAAGTCTAGACCTGAGATCCCGGACAGCCTGAAGTCACCGAGAGGGGCAGAAACCCTCTTGGCAGTGACCACATGAGCATGTCGTGCGTTGCGCGGAACACGGACGGGTGACCCGTTGTGCTGCCATGCTCTTCGTGCAACTCTGGACTGTGGAGGATTGACTGGTCCACCCAGGGTACGAAATGTGAAGGTCCTGTCCAAGCATAAGGCAGAACACCAGTGTCTTAGAATGCCCCTGTTGCTATTGAAGTCCTCGTTCGGCCAAGACTGATCTACTGAGGAGGTGGGGTCATTGTCATCTCCGCGGTCATAATTATAATGGCGCAGAAACTACCGGTGAAGGAACAAGCGATTGGTACCCAGTAGCAGGTGGCCCTCATCTTTGGTACTCAAACACCGAGGCAAGAAGTCTCAGAGACCTGCTCTGAGCGAGTAAGCTTTGTTTTGAAAAGTCGGGGCTGTATGTATGTCTGAGAGACGTGCTAGCGCTACACAAGCGAGTTGAGCGTCTTGGCTCGTCCCGTCCCGCAGGCTTCACATCGGAGTTTGGTCTTTTCGCGTCATTTTTCGATCCTTAGAGCCATGCTTTGGAGCTAAAAGGGGCTGTACATCGCATGTATGTGAGAGGGATCGGAAGCGAGTGGGAAACGGCCAATTGACGACGCGTGACGCCCTTGGTCTGTTGCCTCCGTCGGAACCCCCTCCGTTCTGTCTTGTCAAGTGGCCATATTTGGATGTTTGTAGCCTGTACTTCGGCAAGCGACACAGCCTCTCTGGAAACCCTGCATCAAATTGGAAAAAGCAATGTGGCGTCCCGGAGGACCGCAAAGATCTCAACTTCGTTCACTTTGAGATTGGGTTGAGGCTCGCAGGGTTCATATCGGTAGGGCGGGTGGAGGAGGGTCAACTAACAGACAAGGCTTGCTCACGTTCAAGGCTTCAAACCAGAAGGTCCCCGGTCCGAAGTTTGTCTAGATTTTCGAAAGGATGTTACAGGGTTCCGAATGAGCAACCCTTTGCAGGGACACGTTCCCAAGTGGGTAAACGCGCAACATCCGGCTTCCGCGAGACGATAGGCACACAGGGGTAGGTGGAGACCGTGGGGCATTCGCGATGAATGTGAATTGTGATTTAGACAATCACAAACTGTCCTATTGAAAATAATCGATCATGTTCGGATGGTAGCATGATTCCACATCAATACTACGGAAAGCCGCAACCGCCCAATCAAAGCATGGAGTTTTGTGAATAGAAGTCTCAGCCCGCAGAACAGATGTTGAATCTACTTGACGACGCACATCCTCAGGCGTCCCCCCTTTGGCCGTCACCCTCCTCTCCAGGAAAGTTTTCCCGCCAGTGTTTTCCGCCAGTATTCCGACACACCCCTCATGGAAGCATCCCGGTGTGGACGCTATGATTACCCATCAGCCTGAGTACCTTACAATTTACTCCAACGCAACAGCACCGCAGCAGCGATGACAGGTAAGACGGAGGCAAGTTCGCCAAGGCCGGCAAACTCCGGTGGGATGCGGGCGTTGACGAAAGCCCCTGAGCCGAGGAGGATGGCAAACAAGTTGTAGACGAAGCTCCAGCCAAAGTTGAATGCAATCCGATGGATGGCCTTTCTGCTCACCGCGATGGCGGTGAGGATACCGGTCAGGCTGGGTCGCATCAGGACAACATCGGCAGCAGATCTAGCCACGTCAGTGCCCGCGTTCATGTGGACGCCAATGGTAGCCTGGGCCAGTGCAACGGCATCGTTAGTGCCATCTCCGCAGAACATCACGACGGGCTTCTTCGGCTTCTTTCCCGATTTGGACACACGGGTGGAGGGTGTGGCTAAGAGTTGCTGAATGTAGTCCTGTTTGTCTGCGGGGTTGCATCGCGAGTGCACATTAGCCTCGGGTATGTTGAGTTGAGAGGCAACCGCCTGTACCGCTCCGTCATCGTCGCCAGAAAGGATGTGGACCGAGACGTTGGAGGCCTGCAGCTTGGACACGGTTGCGAAAGCCTCGGGCCGCACCGAGTCTTCTAGCGCAAACAATGCAACCAACGTCCCGTCGACCGTGAAGCAGAAGACGGTGTATCCTTGCGACAAGAAGGACTCGACAGCAGGATCGGACGATAGACCCAGCCATCGCGAATTACCAGCGCGGAGCTTGCGGCCAGAGATGGTTCCCTCGACACCCTTACCCGTCAAAGTCTTGGAATCGGATACCGGCGCTGGCGATATACCATTCGCCTTTAGGTGGGCGGCAACCGCTGCGGATACGGGATGCTTGATGCTACCAACAAGGCCAAGAAGCAACGATTTCGTCGCTTCTGGATCGCCAGCAACGTACGATTCTTTAGACACACTTAGTTCCCCATGGGTCAGTGTCCCCGTCTTGTCGAAAACTACATGCGAGGTCTTGTAAGCGACCTCGATGCTGTCGGCCGACTTGAAGATGACGCCCTTTTCCGCAGCGACTCCACTGGCGATGACGATCACCATAGGAACTGCAAGTCCAATCGCGCATGGACATGATACGATGAGGACGGTGATTGCGTATGTGACTGCCTGGATCGTTGCTTCGGAGCCGGACTGTTTGCGGACAGCGACTCCAACGGCAATCCATACAGCAAATGTAATTATCGTCAACGTGACTACGACTGGGACGAAGTATGACGCAACTCGATCTGCTATATCCTGTATTTTAGGCTTGGACAACTTGGCTTCATCGACCATCCCGGCGATGTTGCTGATTGTGTTGTCTTCGGGCAGACGGGTTAGGCGTATGTTGAGGGTTCCAGAGCCATTGATCGAGCCTGCAATGACAGAAGAGCCTGCATATTTCTCGATTACTCTTGATTCACCCGTGACCATAGACTCGTCTAGCTCAGACGAACCAGAAATGACTGTGCCGTCGGTTGGAATGCGAGACTCGGGAGCAACTCGGAAAGTGTCTCCATACTGAAGCAGTCGAGAGTCAATTTCCTTTTCCTGGCCCGAGGTGTCGATGATTGTCGCTGTGGACACCTGCAGAGATCGGATGGAAATGGACTCAACGGCCTTCTGACGAGCCAGCGCACCAACGTATCTGCCAACCATAATGAGAGTGACGAGGAGTGTGCTCGTCTCAAAGAACTCCCCGGTCGACAGAGGCTTGTGAGAGACTAGATAACCAAACGAAACCACTGAGAAGATGTATGCGGCGCTAGTACTCAGTACAATGAGCAGGTCCATCTCGATCATTCTGGAGAAGATCAAGCTCTTGAGTGCTGTAGGATAGAATGGTCCAGCAATAGCAATTTGAACAATAGTTGCCAATGCTAAAGAAGCTGAACCATAAGCAACCTCATTATCCGGCAAAGGTGCCCAAGCCATCACGAGAACCGGGACAGTTAGGACGATGGAGAGCAAAGTCATCATCCCAACATGGCGAACATGCTTGCCGCCCGCTTCAAGTGTCGGGTCGGCTCGAGGGGGCGCAAGTTCCATGGGACTGCTCCAGCCTTTCTCAACTAGGTCTCGAGCCCCAACAACCTCTGCATCAAACTCGACGTGAACAGTCTTGCTGTCAACAACGCGTATGTCTGTGACCCCCGCCGGCCATGGCTGGCTGATCAAATCCTCTGGTCGGCCGACGGATAGGAGGTCGATGCTGGCCCCCTGGCTCGTGATCTTCTCGCATTTGAACTCTGTCGTTCGCTCGAGATGCTTGATGACATCGTCCGCTGAGCCAACTCTGACGTCTAGATCGAACTCTGCACGCGCAAGAACAAGACTAGTCTTGAGATTTTTGATTGCGTCCACGGTGGCAAGCGTTCTCTTGAGTTTGGTCTCGCAACCCGTGCATGTCATGCCCGAGATACTAAGAACGACATGCTCTGTTCCAGACACGCCCCTCTCAAGGTCGTTATCGTTGGTGATGTTTGCACCAGACTTGCAGAGAGGTTGGGAAGCGGCAGGCGGATCCCCATCGCCACAACAAGAATCCGCACAAGAACCAACAATGCTCGGGGTGTTGTTTGCGGCACAGCATTCATCAGCGCACCCTCTGCTTTTAAACTTTGGACTTGCAGACCGACCTGCCCTTTTGGTCCTGAGACTTCTGTTGGTTGTGCAGACCGGTTTGCTCGGCCCTGATACGCAACAGGAATCAACTGAACTGCGGGTCCGAAGCGAGGTGATCGATGCTCGTTTCTTTTCGACAGACGAACGATCACGAGGCGCGCAGCATGATTCTTGACCGAGAGCGAGGAGGGCGCGGCAGATGCAGCCCAAGGCTTCAAGCCTTGCCTGATAGGTCTCGCGAACGGTACGGGCGTGGCCACGGCATGGCTTCCCGTCTTTTCCCCCAGTGCAGCCTTCCGCTCCTGATCGAGCTACGAGCCGTGTCAGTCGCAAATAGATTGAGGTGGCGTGCGTATGACTCACTCTTTCTGTTGGAACGCTTGCCGCTGGTACACTCGCGTAGAGCGAGACGATCAATGCAAGTCGAGTCGCAGCAAGGAGAGGTCTTGCCTTCACAGCAGCTAGGAACCTTCTCCTCCTGAGACTTTGGGGCTGGGGAGGAGCAGCATCCCTTCTTGCAATTCTCTTCAGCCTTGGCAACCAGAGCGCAGCAGTCATCCTCGATAGCAGTCAAAGTGCCGCTTGGCTGGACGGGCTTGCTCTCTCGGATTGTCTCGCAACATCCCTTGTTGCAGTTCTCTTCAGCCTTGACCTTCGAACCACAGGTTTCGTTTGGCTTGCTCGTGTTGTTGCGAACAACATCGACAATTCCACTTGCATCTTTGACGGAATCACCACAGCAACCCTTCTTACAATCATCTTTGGGTGTGACCTCATTAGCGGAGGCAACATTGGTGTTTTTGATGGTGTCGTTGCCGCAACATTCCTTCTTGCAGTTGTCTTCAGCTGCAGTGTTGGAAACGCAGCAAGAGTCGACAACTTTGGCAGCCGCAGAGCTTGCGCTTTTCCCATCATTGCTTTGTTCCATGTTGACAGTGCCACAGCAACCGTCCTCACAATCGTCTGCGGCATTCGATTGCTCGGCATCGCAGCCATCTTCATCAGCAGCGGTTGAAGAGCAACACTGATCCTGGCAGCTCTCACTGAGATCCGTGGGATTGACTTCACGGCTCAAGGTTGGCTTGTCGGTCGCAGAGCCGCAGCAACCTTGAGTGCCGTCTCCATCTTTCAAATCTTCAAAGTTGTCGATGCTATCTCCGCCATCGCCCTCTGCAATCCGGTCCTCTGCAACGGTGAGACTAGTGTTCGTCCCAGGGAGGGCAGCTGGTCCGGGGGTCGGGGCTGGATCCTTAGGCGGACCACAACAACCCGATTCGCAGGGCATATTGAGAATTCCCGCGTCAATGCGCACGCGTCAAATGAGGATTCGGTTTCTCGTATTCGACAGTCTTCTGATGGGGTTGAAGCCGAAAAGCAGGTTCACAAAGTGGCCTCTCCGTCCGTCTGGAGTGTTTCCGGTGGACGGCGGGGATGACGACTCGGACGCGAAACCTTAAATAGCGGACTTATTGCTCCACTAAAGCTTCGAAGCAGACGATCTAATTGGACACCGCATGCATCTCCGGTTCCGGAGTGGAGAAATAGGCCGCCTCCGAGATTACCAGCTATGTGATTGTCTCAATCCTGTTCCATGAGGATCCAATGTCGGGGAAACTCTCGTTGCAAGGGAGACTGAAAGGGAAAAAATGACTGAGGATTTGGAGGCCACATTGGGAATGCCTTCGGCGAAACTTGCTGGCTCTAAGACTCGACTCCATTACATACACATGAACAGTGTGAGACAAGATGTCCATGTTTTGCAGGGAACAACTTGTGTTCTATTCTAATTTTTATGATGTATTGTTAACTGCAATTCTGGATTGTAAGAGATACCTGTAGTCTACTCCATGTTTCTCTAGTTGTGAGTTGCTGATCTTTGCTCCAAGTCGCCACTGCCACTCCTAGCTACTATCATGAAGTCTCGGAACAGGTTCGAGACTTGAAGAACTGAGGAAAGATATCTCGAAGTTCCTCCAAATTTTGAATCTGATGCCGTGATGCTGCTTTCGAAGGCATCGGGAGCCCTCTCTCCAGAAAGTGAACCGCTGTCCAGCCTGCCTTCTGAGCGCCGACGCAATTCCCGTAAGAGTCATCTGTGCATCTGTGTCAACGTGGAAACGTCTCTGAGGACTCATCATTGATGGAGGCCATACCGACGAAGTAACAATCCTGAACTGATTCCACCCCAGCTTCCTTCATAGCCTTTAGGAACATATTCTTATTCGGCTTGCAGATGAAGGGCACTTGCGAGTAATCGCAGTACGTCAACCCCTCAAAGAGATTCTCGACTCCAAGAATCCGGATAACTCTTTTAGCATGAGTCACGTAAGCGTTCGTCAATAACCAGAGCCGAACTTTAGAGGTATCGACATCTTCAAGCAGCTTTCGGAGTTGAGGATCAGGCTTCAAGATGTCCTCCAGAGGTAGCGCGTCATCGACCTGGGCGTTGTACTCTATGGGATCAATCTTGTGGTGCCGAACCAAGCCCTCGATGGAGTGTCCATAGTCCGTGTGGTACTGGTGATGTAGCTTTACTGCCTCCTCTCGAGTGAGAGATAGGTGCTTCTCAAAGTAGTCATCGATCAAGTCGGAAACCAGGTCAAAGATCTTAGCATCTAGCTGAACGGTTAGCTGCGGGGTTTATTCCCACTCGAAAGGCTGTACAAGACACACCTCTCGAATATAAACAGTTGTCGATGTCGCTGCATGGTGCACAGGTTAGCAACGAGTTCACACGGCCGGTATTCATAGTGTTCGATGGTGGCTCACAAGAAGAGGACTGGCTTCTGGGGTTGAGATCCCTTGCTCAGGTCTGCCTGCGAACCCATCTCGTGCACTTCACGACCTCGTGGACAGTATGCGGTGAAGATCCCCGAGCGATCGGCAGGCCCGTCCAGGCCGTTCGAATTCGGCAAAGTTTTTGTTGAGATAGAGTTCGTCCGGACCGCCTAACCATACATAAGCGCGGCTGACATCGGTGAAACATCGACGTCACCGTCGTTTACCCCACACCTTGCTGCGCAGAAGACCTCCGGGTGCGGAGAACAGCGACCAGACAGGTTTGCTGACCAGCAGCTCACTGCACCATGATATCTCCCTCTGCAACTTCGATATTTCTCTGAAGCAATGTCCTGATTGCTGAAGTAGCATGTGATGAGTTCGCGCTGGATCGTGGTGAAATCGTGTAAGTGCGACGCGGCATCGGCGCCGCGTGGGAGGATGCATCCGGCTGGCCGCCACCATGCAGGTCGATTCATGAACTTCGGCATTGGCGACGACGGTATATTAGTTTTCAGAGATGTGGAAAGGGCTTTTCAAGAATAACTGTCTCTGGCGATTATCTTGTCTCCCTTCTTCAAACAACACCATGCCTCGCTTGTAGCATTCCACACAAACTCGACGGTTCTCTCCAGTCCTGCATCATCGTCCGATGTCCCTGTCGAACTAAGACACGGTGATCTAATCGCCACACCTTGTTCACTAGCTTATCTGCTGTCCCTGTGCCGTTCTCACTACCAACGTCATCCGAGATAGACCTCTTCATCTCGCGTCTTGGATAACGAGCGTTGGTCATGATCCTTTCGCAACGCCAGCGAACATGACTTCAATAGATGCGCGGCCATCCGCAGATAGAGCGCATGAAACCAGCAATGGAAGTGATTCTGAGAAGACGAAACCGACGCAGAATGAAGACTCAAAGCAGCGAGAGGATCACAGCCCGAAGACCGGAGGAAGCACGGATGGAAGCGACCTCGAAGCCGGTGTTGAGCAGGTGGAGGGCGTCCGAGACACGAAGAAGAAGAAGTTCAGGGTCTCAAAATTCTACAAGAAGTACAGGCTTCCGATACACATTGTCATATGGCTGGCATGGACGGGGTGAGTAGAGGTCAATTGCATTACACGTCGTCGGAGGTGTTGAACTGACATCACGGGCGAAAAGATGGTGGATCGTCGGCCTCATCTTCCATCGGTCAGACAGCCTTGGATGGCTCAAGCCGTTCTTGGTGTACCTGGCCATCACCATCCGCATCATCACACTTTGGCTCCCTGCTGCCTCGGTCATGATCCCTCTGCGCTTCATCTGGCGAAACACGATGTTCAGGGCGTATGACATGACGCCGCAAACGCTGCATAAACCAATCGCCGCCGCGATCACTGTGGCAGTCTTCATCGTCGGCGCGATGATTCCTGCAGAAGTCGGCGACAACACCCGTGCAAGTCGGGCGATCTCACTCTTCGGCCTCGTCCTCCTGATCGCTCTCCTCACGGCCACATCCCGAGACTGGAGGAAGATTCCATGGCACACCGTCATCGGAGGCATGCTCACCCAGTTCCTCATTGCCGTGTTTGTCCTGAAGACGAGCGTGGGATATGACATCTTTGCCTTCATCTCAGAAATGGCAAGGACACTCCTTGAGTTTGCTAAGAATGGACTCAGGTTTCTCACGGACGACGAGGTCCCGACGAAAACCTGGTTCCTCATCAGCGTTGTCCCGCCAATCATCTTTTTCATCTCTCTAGTGCAGCTGCTATATCATTGCGGGCTGCTCCAATGGTTCATCGGAAAGTTCGCCATCTTCTTCTTCTGGACCCTCCGGGTTTCCGGCGCCGAAGCCGTAGTAGCCACCGCGACCCCGTTTGTGGGGCAAGGAGAATCGGCGATGCTCATCAAACCCTTCATCCCGCATCTGACCCTCGCCGAGATACACCAGGTGATGACCTGCGGGTTCGCGACGATAGCTGGGTCGGTGCTGGTCGGGTACATCAGTCTCGGCCTCAACGCGCAAGTCCTCGTTTCATCGTGCATCATGTCGATACCTGCGAGCTTAGCAGTGTCGAAGTTGCGATACCCGGAGACCGAAGAGACCATCAGCTCGGGCAAGATCACAGTCCCAGAAGACGAAGACAAGGCTGCCAATGCCCTACATGCGTTCGCGAATGGGGCGTGGCTGGGAGTCAAAGTGGCTGGCATGATCGTCGCAACTCTTCTCTGCGTGATCTCGTTTGTCGCCCTCGTTAATGGCCTCCTCGGCTGGTGGGGGAGGTACTTGAATATCAGCAACCCGCCGCTGACGCTTGAACTCATCCTCGGATACGTTTTCTATCCGGTGGCATGGTGCCTCGGGGTGCCGAACAAGGACCTTCTGGTCGTAGGCGAACTCATCGGCATCAAGATCATAACAAACGAGTTCCTGGCTTTCAAGTCACTCTCAAGCAACGCCGAGCCATACGTCTCGATGTCACCTCGCTCACGGCTCATTGCTACGTATGCATGCTGTGTAAGTTTATACCTTTCATATCGGTAACGTTTCCATCTCACACATCACAGGGCTTCGGGAATGTCGGCGCCCTCGGCACGCAAATCGGCGTTCTCTCTCAGATCGCGCCCGGTCGTGCAGCCGACGTCTCTAGAGTAGCCGTCTCCGCGTTGTTTTCAGGTATCCTGTCGACTCTGACTTCCGCCAGCGTTGCTGGTATGTTGTACACGGGATAGCGCGGGAGATGGGGTCTTTGTGGTTTTACTTCCTAAACGCCAGATACCCAAGAGAAAGTCACGGGGCTTAGAGGCGAGCAATAATGGAACAAGAATATCTTCGCATGCCACTCGGAACTGCTGGATCAGAGTCTACCCTGACAAACATGGCTAAGTCTGTGCCAGGCTAACTACAGCTCTAGTGATCTTCGTCCGGCATGGCGTCGCTTCCTCCATCGTGTAACATTGCGCTTCGAGCACGGCAGCAGACGGCAGCAGCCTGCGACTGATGGGATTTTCATGGAGCCTGAGACTGATAAGGCATCACGGGCGAATAACGACAGTTCACCATCGCAACAAACAGCCTGGACACTAGTTGAGTAAGTCCAGGCGATCTTTCCATTCGCCCTGGTATCAGTCGGCCCAAGACTGCTTGGGCCCACGGCGATGGTGTGTACTTGTCTAGCCACGGCAACCAAGATCCCAGCCAGCATCCCACTCCCGATGTATTCCATCTAGACTTGTCTCTTTGTCGAAGTCTGCCTTGAGAATGGTTCTGTGTTGGAGACTGAAAACATCGAAGCCTGAGTGCTGGATTCAAGAGCAAGCTCTCGGGCGAACAACACCATTCTCGCGATTGGGCTCCAAAGTGCAGCGTTCTGCATGTGACTCAAGGTCCCTTCCGGCATCAGACAAGTGGCCCTGCATAAAGATCGACAGTGAGGCTCACCGGCGACAGCAAGAAAGCCTCACATACCAGCGGCTCTTTCAGCTGAGCCGAGTGAGTCGCCGACTTGAAGTAGCCGCCCGGG